CACCCCACAGCTGTTTAGCAATGCGGCAGTCCTCTTCCCCTAAAGGGATTAACTAACATATTTAGCAGTGTGACCTCCAGACAACACACAGAAGGAGTGGGGGACTCTTCAAATAGCTTCAGCTGCTTAAAATATGTAATCAAGTAAGAAATACAATAGGAGCAAAATGACGACTTTAGATTTATGACAAGGCTTGCTTGCAGTCAGCTAAGAATAAATGGCTGGTTCTAGGGTCACAGTGACAGTCAGAAGCCAGAGGAAAGGTAGTGAAATGCACTAGCTGTCTCATGATCTGTGAAAACGTAAGAGATGGCCCACTGGATGGCTGAAAGGACGGGTAAAGGGGAAAGACACAAGACTTGGCTACACTTGCGAGTTACAGCGCTGTAACGGCTCCCCCAGCACTGTAACTCACTCCCCGTCCACACTGGTAAGGCATTTGCAGCGCTGTATCTCCGTGGTTGCAGCACTGCATATACTCCACCTCTCCGAGAGGAATAGCGAGTATTGCGCTGCCGCAGCAGCGCCAGTGTGGCCGCCTAATGCACTGTGAATGGCCTCCAGAATTATTTGGCAGTATCCCACAATGCCTGTTTTAGCCACGCTGGTCATCAGTTCAAACTCTACTGCCCTGGCCTCAGATAACCAACCATGTGACCCACCCTTTACATTCCCTGGGAATTTTAAAAATCCCCTTCCTGTTTGTTCAGCCCTGCGTGGTGTGGAGTGCTATCAGCGAATCTTTCCAGGTGACCATGCCTCCACACGCCAAGCGAGCCCCACCATGGAACAATGGCGAGTGTGTTTTCATCAGTGTTTGGGGGGAGGAAGCTGTACAGTGCCAGCTGTAGGAATTACAATACCTTCGGGAAGGTATCAAAGGACATGACGGAAAGGGGCCATGACCGGGACGCCCTGCAGTGCAGGATTAAAGTGAAGGAGCTGCGGAGTGCCTACCGCAAAGCCTGCAACACAAACGGCCGCTCGGGTGCTCCCCCCGTGACCTGCCGATTCTACAAAGAGCTGGATGCAATACTAGGGGTTAGCACAACCATGGACACTTCAGAGCTTGTGTGGGGAGGAGGAGGAGGAAAACGGGAGTGATGGTGGTGGGCCAGATGGAGACACCCTGGAGCCATGCAGCCAGGAGCTCTTCTCGAGCCAGGAGGAAGGTAGCCAGTCGCAGCGGCCGGTACTTGGTGGAGGACAAACAGAAGAGCAGGTTTCCGGTAAGCTTATTTTTTTTTTTTTATTTTGGAAGGAATTTTTTCGGTGCGAGCTTGTTGGGAGAGGAGGGTTAGGTATGCATGCCTAGATGCGGAATAGTGCATTGATGTGGTTTATCACATCGCGGTAATCAGCCTCGGTAATCTCCTCGAATGTCTCATCCAGAATGCGTGCAATGCACTTGCGCAGGTTTAGCGAGAGAGCCACGGTGGTCCTTGTCCCAGCCAGGCTAATGTGCCACTGTGCCGCGAGGGCACCATTGCTGCACACAGGCAAGCTGCATATGGGCCAGGGCGGAAGCTGCATTGCAGTAGAAGACCCTCTCTTGCTTCCCAGGTCACCCTCAGCGAGATATCATCCAGGAGGAACTCCTGTGGAAAATGCTGGGACAGTGTTCAATGTAGGTGCCCCCTGAAGCTGTTGGCTTTCCCCACGGTCCAGAAACCCAGAGGACAGTGCAGTCCTGAAACAATCAGTCCCCCTTACCATTTTGAGGCTCCTGTGGGATGTGTGCTCTGTTTTGGATGGGAAAATTATGCTATTGTATAGACCCTGGGTGTTTTCTACTCCTTAAGTGCGGGGGGAATCATTACTCTGTCTGGTATAAACAATGCTGCCTCTGTTAAATGTTGCATTTTGCCTATACACCTGCATCAACCTTGAGACCTCAGCCGTCCCTCTTATCGCCTGCTCAGAGACTGCAAAGACTCAGAAAGAGACTGCGAAAAAGCAAAGAAGACATGGTGCAAGAAGTGATGCGGCAATCTATTAAAGAGAATGAGAAAGCACAGGACTGGAGGGAGAGGGAAAGCAGGATCCGCCAGGAAAACGCAGCGCACCAGCGGCAAAGCACCACACACTGGCAGCAAAGCACTGATAAGCTCATAAGCATCCTGGAGCGCCAAGCAGACGCTATCCAGGAGCTGATAGCCATGCAGAAAGAGGAACAGTACCACAAACGCCACCCCCCCTACAGCCCTTGTCCCAAAACTTTCCCTTGTGCCCCACTGTCACCTCCAACCCACTTTCCCCAACTTCCAGGTTCTTCACGCCACCAGCTGCCTCCAACACCAGTATCTTCACCACCCAGCCCTGAAAACCACGACCCTTACCCTCTGCACTCAACCCCCATCACCATGCAGTATAGCTGTCCTGAAGTGCAGCACTCACTGCACAGCACACCAGACACGACATATGCGAATCTGTGATTGTACCGTTCCCCACTTCACCCCCTTGTTTCTTTTCAATAAATGGATTCTTTGTCTTTGAAAACATTCATTCTTATTGCATAAAGTATTCCCTGGACAAAGGAGTCTTTTGAACAGGTACTGCAAGTCTGCTTAGCAAACACTGATTCCTAAAGATTGGAACTACTGCACTTCACTCCTGTTCAGGGCACCAGATATCACTGCTGGTTTTCAGCCTCAAATTGCTCCCTCAAGGCATCCCTAATCCTTGCAGCCCTGTGCTGGGCCCCGGTAATAGCCCTGCTCTCTGGCTGTGCAAATTCAGCTTCCAGGTGTTGAACCTCAGAGGTCCATGCCTCAGTGAAGCTTTCACCCTTCCCTTCACAAATATTAGGGAGGGTACAGCATGCAGATATAACTGCGGCGGATGCTGTTTTTGGCTAAGTCCAGCTTCCCATACAGAGATCGCCAGCGGCCCTTTAAATGGCCAAAGGCACACTCCACAGTCATTCGGCACCGGCTCAGCCTGTAGTTGAACCGTTCCTTGCTGCTGTCAAGGCTCCCTGTGTAGGGTTTCATGAGCCACGGTATTAACGGGTAAGCGAGATCTCCAAGGATCACAATGGGCATTTCAACTTACCCTACCGTGATCTTCCGCCTTGGGGAAAAAAGTCCCAGCCTGCCTCTTCCTGAACAGCCAAGTGTTCTGAAAGATGCGTGCGTCATGCACCTTTCCTGGCCAGCCTGTGTTAATGTCAATGAAATGCCCAAAGTGATCCACAAGCGCCTGGAGAACCATAGAGCAATACCCCTTCCGATTAATGTACTCGGATCCTAAGTGGGGTGGTGCCAGAATAGGAATGTGCATCCCATCTATTGCCCCTCCACAGTTAAGGAACCCCATTTGTGCAAAGCCATCCACTATTTCCTGCACGTTACCCAGAGTCACGGTTCTTCTGAGTAGGATGCGATTAATGGCCTTGCAAACTTGCATCAACACGATTCCAACGGTCGACTTTCCCACTCCAAACTGGTTTGCGACCAACTGGTAGCTTTCTGGAGTTGCCAGCTTCCAGACTGCAATAGCCACCTGCTTCTCCATCAGCAGGGCACCTCTCAATCTCATGTCCTTGCGCTGCAGGGTGGGGGCGAGCTCCTCACACAGTCCCATGAAAGTGGCTTTTCTCATCTGAAAGTTCTGCAGCCACTGCTCGTCATCCCAGACTTCCATGACTACGTGATCCCATCACTTGGTGCTTGTTTCCCGAGCCCAAAAGCAGCATTCCACGGTGCTGAGCATGTCTGTGAATGCCACAAGCAATTTTGTGTCGTACTCATTACGTGGCTCGATAGCATCGTCTGACTCCTCACCCTCACTTTGGATCTTAAGGAATAGTTCGACAGCCAAACGTGACGTGCTGGCGAGATTTGTCAGCATACGCCTCAGCAGTTCGGACTCCATTTCCCGCAGACAGATCGCGCTGCACAGAAACCGTTGAAAGATGGTGCCAAAGGTGGATGGAAACAAAGGGGTTTCTGGAATGCAAAGCGATGCATCACAGGGCATTGGGCCAGGACCCAGAATCCCCCACACCCCCTTCCCACAACGCCAGAATGGGAAAGGTGCTCTGTGGGATAGCTGCCCATAATGCACCACTCCCAATCGCACTGCAATTGCCCAAATGTGGCCACGACAGTGAGCTGGGCAGCTGTCAGTGTGGACAGACTGCACCACTTTCCCTACTCAGCTGCATGAAGTCAGGTTTAACTCACAGCACTGTACATCTGCAAGTGTAGCCAAGGCCACAGATATTAGCCCAAGATTAGTTACTAAAGCATTAGAACTGGCACATGTAGAACTAGCTGAGAATTCACATTCAGTGGAGAAGTGTCTATCACAAAAGTGACAGATTTCCCCTTTTATTGCAGTCTCAGAGCTAGGCCAAGGACTGAACTGGCTGTGGAGACTGAACTCCCCTTCTTATTCCAATTTCTCCAGGGCAGAGTTGAGGTAGTGGCAGGAATTTAGGGAAGCCTGCATTGTACTTCTGAATGGATGATTACTTTAGGGTCCAGCTGTCAAAGCAGTGTTGCTGCCAACAGCAGCACAGAAGTAATGTTATCAGTTTTGCAACTCCCCCTTCCATAATCTTGTGACCTCCCCACAACTCCTTTATGGGTCAGGACCCCTACAATTACACCACAATGAAATTTCAGATTTACATAGCTGAAATCATGAAATTTACTATTTTAAAAATCCTATGACTGTGAAAATGACCAAAATAGATCATAAACTTGGTAGGGCCCAATTCCTTCAGCTGAGGGGAGACTGGAAACTTATGTTCAAAGTAACCCTTTTCTAGCTTTTATAGATACATGGAGTGTTTATTTCTACCAATCCCATGCAGAGGTTTTTTTTAGTAGTGTTATAAGTGAATAGATTTATAATTAGATCAGCACTGGCTGACACAAAAAATGCAGGAGGCCAATAGTCAGGTTCTTGCTATACCAAGCCTCTAGACTTCCTGTGGAGAAGCTCATGTACATAGCAAGTGATCACATAAAACAGGAACCATAAGATGGCTATTAACTTTCAAAATCTTATATTTAAACTTCCTGGAGAATATTTACAAAATATGTAACAGATGGAAAGGGAAATATTTAACACTAAGAAGGGAAAAACAAAACATTTCAAGACAGACTGCAACTAGAGAATCTCTTTACCAGCAATATGGGACTGAGGTTTCTTTCAAACAAAACATAGAACATGTCCTCAGAGTGGCTTTAATCCCAATTACCATTCAAAAATAGTAAAGCAGTAGGATATGCAGCAGTTAAGTAGCTGGCATTCAACTAACTAGCCTGCTAATGGGTGACGCTGATTTAAGAGTACACAGCTTAGAGTGGATTTATCTGGTGATGAATAAAGATGTACTCTGCAAGGCGTGTGTATAGGGCTCAGTAAGCATTACATTTTACAGTGCTTAAAAGGGATTCTCTCCAATAAACTGAATCCAGTCTAGTGGCTGTCATGCCTCATTCCTGAAGACTTTTCTTCTAACCCTTGCATGTTTGGAGGAAAGGTGAAGCCCACAGCAGGAAATCATTCTTCAATCTTTGTAGACCTTTTATTCCTGATTAACTATAGGCTAGCACCTCCTGTGTTGCACAATTTCCAGGTGCTGCACTAATACTCAAGCTCTCTTTTTGTTTTTATTCTCTGGAGGCAGCGTGGGAGCATTCCCAATGTCCACAGTGATGTTGGTATAAAGAAGGTGCTTCTTTCTTGAAAGGAGTTTGAACTCTACAGAATTCATTCCATCATCCTTCCATGTTTTTCTGGTGTTATGCAGTGGAGCAGGCCTGAAGGGAGGAGAATACCTGTAGTTAGATAAAAGGACAGTAGGGGGAGACTAAGGGACGTTCCCATCTTTGTCCAGTCAGTTACAATACAACTCTTGAAAAATACACAACACTCTATATGTGACTATGATTAAGTAGCTTAATCAGAGAGAAGAGGTGCACTTTCAGGTAACACTTGAAGTAAGATGTAGACAGGCAGATAGGGAAGCTGTTCCAGGTGACAGCAGCTTTATAGGTAAAGCCTGTTCCACCAAATGAACTCAGATTGTTCCTTCGCACAAAGGAAACCTGTTCTAGACAAGCAGAAAGAGCAGAGACATGCTGTGAGGTGCAGGAGACTGGAGTAATCGTAGGTGTTTATAAACTAGGACCATTTGGAACTAGAGCCTGAAATGAATGGGGAGGACCAGTGGCATGTGTGAGTACAAGGATGATGTGGCAATGGCAATCTGTATATATGAAAAGGCAGTGGCAGCACCACACTGCCCATGTTGGAACATGGAGAGATGGGACCTGAGGAGGCAAAGGTGGCAATGAGGATTTCAGAGGTAGAATGGAAATGCAGATGGCTTATATTGACTTGTGAAACACATGAGAGAAGCTGTTAAGGAGCTAAGCCTTAAGGATAAGGCAAGTGGGAGAGCTGAGATGCCAATGTAGACAGCCTCCACCCCACCAGATAACACCTTCTTCCAGCTCTTGGTATGCAAGTAGGTCCTCGGGGATTTAAATTAGAGGTTCCACCTTACCCATATCTGCTGAATTCAGTGCTCCGATTTCACATTTTTAATGGGTCTGCATACAGCTTAGTTTGTCTACTGCTACCATAATACTTTGTTATATAAAAATCTTGACATTTATTTTGTCCAAGATGTACATAGAAATCTTGAGAGGAGGGAAGACATAAGAGAACAAGCTTCAATGTTTCTAAGATACCTTGAGATTACTAGTTTGGAAGTGGTCTTGGTTCTTCATATGAAGAATTTGATGACTATTTAGAATTCATATTTTTAATAAACTATTACTGTAGTGTCTGGAGCCCTAATCATGGGCCAGGACTCTGTACAAAACTCTTGCTAGCAACTGCCAATCAAAAGAATGAGCTTACCAATAAGGACTTCAAACAATGTGATGAACTAGTATTAAAGCATCTACACTTTAAAAATATAACCAACAAAAGAAAGTAAGGTTCAGTTGTAACTGGCTTTTGACCAAACAATATTGCTGATATCACAAATGTTCTTTTGTCCATGAGTCCCCAGGCCACCAGCAGGACTGCAGGAATTTAAGTTGTAATCAAAACAAATCAAGCAAATGCTTCCACCCGGTGAATCTCCTAAACTCTGTGCTGAACAAAGCCAGAGACAGTTTCTTTAAATAGCAGCATTTAAAAGCAGGATGGTAAAAGGGACAGTCCAAGAAGCTGCTTTCTGCCCTGCATGAGGAGGAAGTTGATAGCACTCAGTCAGCAGGCTCTACAGACCAGGGATGGCCACACTGGAATTAGGACAAGTGAGGACAGGGCCCTCCTACAATAGTTACCTTATTGGGTACTCTTCACTCCCTTTGTGTTGCTCAAGATCCATCATTTTGTAACGTCCAAGATGAATAGGGGTCCTGACTATTTTCATTCCTGCTAACTGAATCCTTTAAAATGAAGACAGAGCAAAATCTGGGTTTATACACAAGAATGCCAGCTCTAAGCTACACAAAGTACAGAGATGTTTCCTGGCAGAAACACAATAAAACAAAAACAAACAAACAAACAAAAAAACAAAAAAGAAAAAAAAACAACACCACACCACACACACACGGGCTGAAAAGACAGTACTTCAAATTCAAGAAGAGGAAGTAAGATTATGGTACTCAGTGGTACCTCCTGAATTATGGCACAATGCACCACTGACTTAACTGACACCACTCGTAGAGACTGATAGGAACACTTACTTTACCTAAAACTAGTGTGGTAGGTAAGTGTGAGCGGGGCCAGCAGCAGAACATTATGCTACCATTCAGATGAGCTAGGGCAGTAGAGTTTCAGAGGTCGTAACTGTTGTGTCTGAATACCCAGGCTAGGGAAATTTACAAAAAAGTATTACTAGTACTACTACCACTTGAAGTGAATCACTGGCAGTTCTGGATAGATCTCAAGGGCAGAAAAGGCTCCCATAGCCAGACCCATTGCTACCACCATGTTTGTTTAACTTGCTGAATATTTAGGCAGTTTAGTTTGGCAAGTTAACATCTTTGGAACTTTTTATTCAAGATCTTTCAATAAACGTTTCGTTTGAGATAAGTGCTAGAGGTAGATAGCAGCAAGCTGCACTGCAACATTCCTGCTCCCAAGCCCTTGGGAAAGGCCAGAATGCCAACAATATTTAAATTTAGACTAGAATTATCAAAAGAAACCCAGAAATGGTATTAATTCCTTCAGGGAGTAGGTTTTAGCATTTGGTAAAGTACCATTATCTCAACCTGGGCTGTAGCAAAAGTTTGTATGTTTGCATTCAGAAAATAAACATTACACTGCACAGAAAAATGGACAACTGCAAAAGAGCTGAGCTAACTTTGCTGTTGAACTCTAGTCTGGTATTGCCAGACTAATTGTAGCTTTTTGTATTTAAAGTTGCATTACTAGGTTAAGGCAACAATGAAAAACCCACAAAATTAGCATAAACACCCCAAAACACGGTCTGTGCTTAATGTTAATACTTAAATGGTTCCAGTTAAGATGCTGAAGCTCATTTCTCATAGGAGGTGAACGAGAAGGATACTAATGCCGGAGATTAAGGTTTAAAACACAACTAGCTGATGCCGTTGAACCCAACTTGGCTTCATCCGTACTGACTGCAAAACCGTGGTCAGTGTTGATTGGCCAACCTAGCTCTTCAGTTGTGTTTAATATAATAAAGCTTTATAGAGAAGACAAGGCCAGCAAGGGTTCATGACATATTTCCCATTTTATTTTTGTTGTTCTACAGCATAGGTGCTCAGTCCTTTCTAAAACTCAGCTCTCTTAGGTGTCTCAAGCTGGTCACTCAAAAACTGAGGCACCCCAAATCACTGCAAACTTTTGTAAACACAGGCCTGTACGTTTGTGAACAAAGAATCATTAGTAGCCTCCACCGCCAATAGCAATGTGCCCCTCAAGTGGCTGTGGTTATCAATTATTTGTAGTACATAATTCTCACAGGATAGTGCATGGGATTTACTTTCCTTCAAGGAAGGTATGTTTTGGGGTTTACTCAGGCTAACAGTGCCCCTTGAACAGATTTATTCCTTAAAAAAAAAATATGAAGTGCACAGGACTCTGGTATGGCACTTCTCACCACTGGCACCCCACTTGAGACCCATGTTGAGAGCTGAAGTAGTGCAGAAAGCATTGGGATAGGTCTCCTGTTTGTTTTTAGAAATTCAAGATGCACTATACCCTGATATTCCATTAATCAAATAGTACTTTCGTTATTTTTAAAAGTAATCATGTTCCTTTAATAAGATTTCTCTGATCAAAGGAAGTAACTTAGTGTTAAACACCTAACTTTCCATTCTCAGGAGCACAATGCTTGGTAAGACTCCCAGTGTCCTTGAACAGAATGTTCCACTGAAAATTACATAACTTGTCACACTGTGCAAGAGCAGGAAATAAATGTTTTTACTGCCAGCTAAGTAGTATAATCTCTCCAACAGTTTGCCTCAATGTCCACTAGTAGAGCTGTACCACTGGTGAATTACAGCTACAGTGCTTGCTAGGGTAGATGAGGCCAAAGGGTCTTTATTCTGTACTCTACAGAGCTGCATTGTGCACAGCAGCTGTAATTAAAAACTCTCTATATTCACACCCATAGTACGTCACCTTCCTAGCAACAAAACATCACATTTTGCCAACACTGATACACATGGTACTTTAAGGCTCTATGGTATGTCACTACGTGTCTGACAGTTTAAAGATAGTAACGTAAGGAATCCAGGTTCCTAGCTCCCCAAATACGGTGTACTTACTGAAACAGTCTTGCAGGTGGTAAATGCCATGTCCTGAATCCCCTCCTATTTTGAAATCTAAAGCTTCCCTTAAAATCCCCTAGGTTTTCTACTTTGTCAGCCTAGTATTCTCTCGTATGGAATGATTAATTTCAGTGAGAGTCAACTATCGGGTCACTAGTGGTTTATACAGCTCTTGGAAGAACCCCAGAGACAGCATAGGGGTATTCAATGCAACATTATCTAGCTCCTGAAGCCCAAACTATCTGAAGAAAGCTAACCTCCTACTGTACAAAAAAGTGATACTTTAAACAATATTAGATCTAACATGCCCGGACCATCAATTCTGAATGTAATGTCTCCAGAACTGAACTCTGGAAGGATGCAGATACATTGGAGAGGGTTCAGAGAAGAGCCACCAGAATCATTAAAGGATTACAAAACATGCCTTACAGTGATAGATTGAGCTCTTTGAGCCTAACCTATTTATAGCTTAACTTTAAGGGGTGACTATTAGTCTGTAAGTAAGTATCTACATGGGGAACAAATATTTAATAGGCTCTTCAATCTAGCAGAGAAAGTATAACTGTCTTGTTTCAACTTCCAGCCACTGGATTAATTTGGACTGGAAATAAAGTGTAAATTGTTAATGGTGAGAGTAATTAACCATTGGAGCAATTTACTAAGGGTTGTGGTGGAGTCTACATCACTGACAATTTTTAAATCGAGATTGGATTTTTTTCTAAAAGATATGGTCTAGGACAGGTGTTCTCAACCTTTTTCTTTCTGAGCCTCCCCCCCCCCCCCGCCCCCTCAGAACATGCTATAAAAACTCCACAGCACACCTGTGCCATAAAAAATGTTCTTCTGCATATCCAGTAGATTAAAAGCCAGGGCTAGCATTAGGGGATAAAAAGCTGGGCAACTGCCCAGGGCCCCATGCCACAGGGGACTTCGCAAAGCTAAGCTGGCTTCATCCCCAGGCAGTGGGGCTCGGGCCTCGGCTTTTTTCCCTGGGCCCCAGTGACTCTAGTGCCAGCCCTGCTCTCTGATTTATTTCTGGTCGAGAACCACTGATCTAGGAATTATTTTGGGGAAGTTCTGTGGCTTGTATTAAGTAGGAGATCAGACGAGATGATCATAATGGCCCCTTCTGGCCTTGGAATCTATGAATCATAGCACTATATACAATTAAAGTTGTCCAGAACCTATTAGCTCTTTTATAGGGCTAATGGAGACCACGCAATATGTTGTTACTTTAGACCTTTATTTAGTTCTCTTTTAAATGGCCCAGTTCTATCCATTAGTACCTTGCAGCAATGTCATCGTCTTCACCACGACTGCCCCAGTAGGTGTTTGGAAACCCATTTATCTTCATGTAATGCTCTGGAGTCAAAGCAGAGACACCTCCAAAAAAGGACCAATATGGCAAACTGGAGAAGAGAAGAGCAAATTGTCAAAACTGAGTTTGCATCAGGCACTTGACAAACTGTCTTACACTAGTGATGAGTCACATGCACGTTGGTCTCAGCTTATTGTACTTGTATTGCACAAGAAGCTGGATGATAGTTTTCATGATAGTTACGTGGCAAGTGTATTGAACTAAAAAGATAACTTTCTACAGGTTTTCGTCACTGACTAAATGGGATATTAAGACTTCAGTGCAGAAGATCAGACTGGTAAATTCAACTGAGATTCCTTCTAACCAGCAAAATTCAGAGAATAACTGTTCTGTAACTCGGGCATTTTTTCCCCAGTGTGAGGGAAATACTGTACTCTGCTCACAGAAGAAGGAAAGAAAATAATTAGCCATCAATCACTGGAAGATGCATTTCAGTTTGCTTTCAATAGCTGCTGAAGGCAAAAGGGGCCTCAAAAGGACTGGGTTTGTCCTGGTGTGTCATAAAATGATCCATGATAATTCTATCGCTGCGGAGGAGGGAAGCCATAGCTGTTGAAAGTGATGTAGATTACGATTTCATCAACATCTCAAAGACAGCTCAGTGTTCAGATCCCTACTCAGCAGCACTATCATGTAATATTTACAATGAGGAGTCCAGTGGCACCTTAAAGACTAAGATTTATTTGGGCATAAGCTTTCGTGGGTAAAAATCCCCACTTCTTCAGATGCATGGAGTGAAAATTACAGATACAGGCATAAATATATTGGCACATGAAGAGAAGGGAATTACCTTACAAGAGGAGAACCAGTGTTGACCAGGCCAATTCAGTCAGGGTGGATGTGGTCCACTCCCAATAATTGATGAGGAGGTGTCAATACCAAGAGGGGGAAAATTGCTTTTGTAGTGAGCCAGCCACTCCCAGTCCCTATTCAAGCCCAAATTAATGGGGTTAAGTTTGCAAATGAGCAAAAATCATGTCATATTTGTGCTGTTTAATGCTCTCCATCTTGCATCTTAGGGAAGAAGAGAACAAAAACCTTTCAGTTTCAATATGGGTGCATGGGGGAAGAGCAGCAGGAATCATTTGACTAGCTACTCTGACACATGTCCCTTCCTGCAACAGCCACCCAGGTGGGAATACATTGAGGTAACATCCTTCAGTGTCCAGTCCTAGGCTATACTATATGTTCCATGAAAAGGAACTGCTGATAAGATCATGAAAAGTGTCCATCCCAAATGCAGACCCTTACCTGTACTGGAATTTGTCTATGGCACTGGCAATGTGTTTGGGGTAGTATTCATCACAGACGTAGAGGTTATAATCATTTTCAGGAATGAGGTCCACGTCATGCAGGAGCAGACAGTCCCAGTCCTCATCCTTCATGGCTTCCCGGACACCAACATTAAGGAGCTTGGCTCGGTTAAAAGTAGCATTCCCAGCCTGGAAAAGAAAACATGTAGTTTACTCACCAACTCCTGGAATGGCTTCAAGGATCTAAGGCTGCTCACACTGAAGTCAATGGCAAAACTCCCATGGATTTCAATTTGAGTGAGACTGGAACCAAGTGATGCTGGGAAAAGTTTTCAGAAATCTCTTAGATGCGTTTGAAAATTTGACCTACTGCCTTAGCAACTCTATGAACTTTGGGAAGTTGGAAGTCTTTTGCACATAGACATAAAGAAAAAGGATTCTAATCTCTGTAACAGACTAATGTAGATCTTCAACTATACTTCCCTGCACACAGAGATTATGTCCTCATCCCTCTTTAGAAAGAAGCCAGAAATCAGAACACATATCCTGGTTACATGCAATTGAAAAAGACACTCCCCTTCCTAACTAGCCATCAGTTTTCACCACTAGTTAATTTCCCCCCTCTGGGGATCCTTCACAACACCAGAACTCATCAGTTACACCAACTGTTTGGCCTATGTAGGTGTGACCCAGAGCAGGATCAAATCAGAGTTTGGATCTCACTCTAGGTAGACAGTAAGGATACCCAGTTCCACTCTGGCACCTCCTTATGACTGACTCAGAAGCCGCTCCAATAAACTTGAGAGGAGCCATATTCAGTCCTCTTTCACAGGAAAGATCACCCCCCCCTTTAAGTTTAAATTTGTCCCTCCCAAAAACAAACATGGAACAGTATCTTAGCACTAGATACAACGACAAGCGCTTTAGACATACAAATTATGTGCCACTGTACATTCACAAACTCTGTATTTCTCATGGGGGGAATTGTGTGTCTACTTTTCCATTCACAGTCAAACCATTCCTTAACTGGAAACCTCAGCAGCAGTGATAGACACACATCGTTTTGATTTACCTGGTGAATCAAGTAGATGCCGTAGTGAAGCTGTTGGCGCTGCAGGAAGGGATGAAGATAATAGAGAAGGTGTCGCAGATGCTTCTCCTGGTTCTTGTGTGGTACAATGATGGCTGATTTGTAGCGAGCCAGGCAGTGAGGAGGGCTGTAGCGGCCTCCAAACCGAACAAAGGGATTTTTTTTTATTATCATTCTTTCACTGGGGAATGCATTAAAGGTGATGGTTAATGGACCAACTGTAAGAACGAGGGAAGGGGGGGAAAAAAAAAGTGAAAATTTGGTGAATGACGTTGAGCCAAATCACTGTTCGAATCCATCAGAATAAAGCTTGAAACACTTGAGCTATACCCAACAGGGAGCAGTATAGTGGAGCATCTGTCACACTATGGGTTCGAATCTACAAGGGAAGCCTTTCAGTGGGCTGATCCACACTCTTGTTCTTCTGACATTTGGTCTTCTCTTCTAGTGTGGGTGAAGAACCAGACTCCTGTGAAGTACATTGTGTAAGCAGACCACAAGGGTGTCTTGATAAAAGGCAAGGTATTTATCATTGCAGGATGGTTGTTTCTCCAACTACTCTTCTACAATCAAATCTGCCTTCTTTACTACCGTTTCCCATTTATGTATCAATGCCTCATTTCAGGTAAGGGATCAAGGACAAAGTGGTCTGGAGGAATTGTGGTGACTACAAAGAAACTATTTTGGAGAAAACAGAACTTAAAGGGAGCAGGGGCACTTTCTCTCACTGCAGCCCATGCTGCCCAAAGGTAAGTTCCCCTTCTGTTCTAAGGCAATCTGATATTATTTAGCAGTAGGTGGAATATTTCCTACTTTGAGCGTTCACAGCCAGGTCTCAGTCCATTCTGTTATGAACATGGGCTCTGCCACCTTCTTAGTGTCAGGAAATCAGATCCTTGCTACCCTACAGTTTATTTTGGCAGCTTCTTTTCCCCTCCTGCACCACTTTTCCCCCCACTCTTGATGAAACCCAAACCTTTCTCAAGTATTAAAAATAATAATAATAATAATAATAATAAAGGAACCAGATGTCTAACTAATGAAGAACTCTGATTTTTGACTGCTACCAAGAATTTTCATAACCAACTGCTCCCATGTTTGCTTACTTGCAACAAACAGAATGGCTGTTCTCCAGGGAACTATGCTATGGGGGAACAGCTCTAGATCATACCTACCATGGCTAGGTGACTACTATGATTGTATTACCTGCTTCTATGGAACTCTCAGCTTCTGTCTTTAAAAACAAAAACACTTTATTCCATTGTTTTTAATCTGTACATTTCTATTATACTGTTTTTATATTTAAAATAAAAAGTTAAAGTAACTGTTTTCATATGCAAGTACTAACTATTGCTCCAGTGTCAGTTGGCGTTTGTCTAAGAGATACTAACAAAATGTACTTCTATTCAGATTCAGCTGTATTTATGGGAGTCACTACAACAAAGGGTATGAGGTTTTTTTGTTTTTTTAAAGAGATGGTGTTTCTTTCAGTATAAATCAGGGCCCTGCATACTGCAGGACCAAATTCAGTAGCCAATCTGTAAATTCCACAACAGCAACTTCTGCTTTCTAAAAATCAATCTTAATTTATTCTACTGCCATGCAATATTCTTACATTTTTGTTCTCCCACCCCCACTGGTCATAGATGACTTTTGGAAGCGTTTTCCAACCATGATTATTTTAAGAGGATAAAGTTAGTTGTCATGCTCTCCTGGCCACGTGGCTCCTCAGCTCCTATGTTGTTGTCCAAACAACCTAGCTCAGAACCTGCTTCTCTCCCTGCCACACACAGGGAGAAAAAACAGGCTTCCTTTCAAGCTGCTTCTATGGCTCGTATCCCTAAGGACTTCTGGCTCCCCCACATAGGGTGACCAGATGTCCCGATTTTAGGGTCTTTTTCTTTTATAGGCTCCTATTACCCCCCCACACCTCCTGTCCCGATTTTTCACACTTGCTGTCTGGTCACCCTACCGCCACACTCCCTGGCTGCAAGCTGGGCTTCAGGTCTGGTTCCCTAACCCCAGCCTCCTGGCTCCATGGAACAGTATAGGGAGCAAGCACTATAATGCAATGAACTCCCTCTTGTGGGGAAAATAAAAGGCAGCTGCATACAGATCTCTGCAGAGCAAGTAGACAGAAAAGTCATCGGTGCCCAACAGGGCGTAAAATAGCAAATTTCAGGGCAGAAGTACTGAAAAATGCTCTATTCCAGAGTCCACAGTTAAAACGAATGGATCAGTATTTCAGCTCTCTGAACACTTGTGCAGACAGCACTTCATCAATTTACATTTTCAAAGTTCTCTCTACAACCATGAGTGCTATAAACAATATTTTATTTTTCAATTAACACTCAGATTCTGGAGCACAATTCCACGGCAAGCTCTGCTGCCACGGAAGACAGGGGCCCTGAGCACAGTGCACTCTTGTACTGTAGCGGGAATTAAGATGCCCTTGCCACTATTGTTCATTCTCTCTCAGAAGACACTATTTACATAAAGACTGTGCTTCCAACCTGTGCTCCCTTGACCACCACTGGCTGACAGAACGTAACAAAGGCAAACAGCGAGGAGTTAAGGTAGGAGAGCTTCTCTTGAATCATATTACTTATGAAATGATTTGCAGAGAAAAAAGGTTAGAGTTCTACTGAATCAAAAAATATAAAGTGTTGTTTCCCCAAAGCTTCCTGAGTCGTTGCTCTGCATCTATAACATTACATGGAAAAGAATCTTTTAACCATGTTTAGAGACGTATAATTGTCAACCAGAACAGGAAGCTTCTAGCTGCATATATAAAAACTACAGCCCCCCCCCACTCCCCCAATCCATCCCTTTAGCTCATCAACACCACTGCAGGACATGTTCTCAGCCTGCTTTACTTATTAGGCAATGCATTCAAACGGAGAGGGTTTTGCTGGTTTTGGCTGAATCTAATTCATTTCAAGAAGGGAAATGTGAGACCTTTCAGACCTCGAGTGTGCACACCTTAGGATCAGATGACCTTACAACGGTCCTCTTGGTACACACTTAATCTGGTATAATTGGGTGCAACACCATTGACTTCAACAGAAGTTTTGCATCAGCAAGACCCGTATGATTCAGCCTATCAAAAGAGAACTTAAATAATTAGGTGTAAGCACTACCTTGAATGGAAACAGCTTGTCCTCATGGGGAAATTTGTTGGTAGAACTATATCAGTATGATTATATCACTATAGTTATACCGGTGTAACTCCCCATGTGGACTCCCTGAATCCAGAGTAAGAGTGTTCACATGTGCAGTTACATTAGCGTACTGTAGGGTGACTACCTGTCCTGAATTGGATGGGACAGTCCCAAAATGCAGAGTTCAAGTCCCTGTGTGAATGACTCCAGGACAGCACAGTGTCCTGGATTCCCTGCGCTGTCGCTCCACGGCTGCGTCAACCTCTTCCTGGTGTGTGTGTGTGTGTGTGTGTGTGTGTGTGTGT